AAGAAGGCGATCGACTAAGCGTCTCGTCCCACTTGGAACGCACCAGTTGGATGTATAAATACTCCATCGATCGATGTTCACACACCGAGAGATCGCTGACCACATTTGTGCACGTGGCATGAAAAAATTCGATTCTGTTAGAAATGTGACTGACAGCGAGCGTTCCTAGTACCAGAGTCGTTGTCTCTTACCTCGAGGAATGATTACACACTGACTGGCTTTAGAGTGTCGCGGACAGCGTGTAGCTTAGGCCTCGAGCAACCAACAGGGATTTCTCAACGCACAAAGGTTGGTCTAAGAAAAAACGCAGAGAGAAACGGTAGCTCTGATTTGTAAACATGTACTTTGTTTCACCGGGGGCGAGATGGACCAAGTGGTTAGAGCGCGAATTTACTGACCAGAAGGTCCGTGGTTCGAACCCGACCTCTGCCTCTCGGCTTCTCCTGTCTAGGCTTGGGCAACCTGGCAGTATCCCAGCCCTCGTGCTTCCCTCTGGTAGCATGGCTGCTAGGCACCGAAAAGGTGCTACAGCTGAACGGTATGTATATATGTATGATTGTACTTTGTTTCACCGAGATGAGCCCGGATAAGGCCAACAAACAATATGGGTTTGAGGCAATGCAAATCGGCTTGGATTCGTGAAATTTCCATTCCTTGTTTGAATAGTTCTTCTGTCGTCTTGGCGCAACTATTCTGATTGGTCACTACCAAAGAAAAGGAGTTTCGTTTTAGCGAATATACACTCATCTGCAAACTAATTTGGCTCTTTCGAGAGACTCACCTGGAACCCAGCTGAATCTCTCGTTTATGATGTTCTCAGGCAACTGAACGTGCTGCACCAGGCCGCCTCATGTTTCGTTTTACTTGAGCCGGTGCATTTCATTGGCCGTACCGGAATTCGACCTCCAGACATCTGACGCGGGCGTGTTGACACTGGTCCACCGGTTCAGGCTGTATGTAATTGAATTCCCTGGCCTAAACAGGTCAGCGTGTTCACGAGAGAGCAATGTGACTGGCTAATACAACGGTTGATATTGAGTCATCGCTCGAAGCGCTGGATCAACCAGTTACATCGATCAAGCGTGAACATGTTCGCCTCTCTTCAGACGTAATAAATCTAGCCTGTACTGGTGGAGTCTTCAAAGCACGTTCACCACGCACACCAGACGTCCGACAATTGAATCCAGGCACGGCCAAAGAAATGCACCGCACCCGATAATCGATTGATCGGTGCTTAGGTATTATGTCATCCGAAAAAAACCATGAGGGCTGACATACCATCGAATCGAAACCGCAGTTTGATTTGGACTACGGATCTTCCGGTCAGTAAGTTCATGCCTTAACCACCCCCCGGTTTTGAGGAGCTCGTTTCCTCGAAGATTAGAAATATTCGTCTCCTGGAAGGATTCTCCGCCACGGGCTTCCCTGTTGATGATTGTTTTATCCAGTGAGGAGGAGTGGGCGAGAAAGAGGCTCATAAGGGGAAATAGCCGTCATCCGAAAATGTGGGCAACATTGTCTCGGGCTCCACGAGTCCGTGCTGCTTAAGGGTGAGTGACATCGTATTCTATCTAAATGCAAGCTGACCACAGTGCAGACCAGTTGCATTGGCGAAAAATCGTGTACCCACTTCTTATAGGAGTGTCGAAGCCTTCGCGAGATCAGTAAGAATGACGATAATGATAATTATCGTTAACAAAGAACAGTGGCAAAACCTGTCTACGGTTGCCGCGCAATGAGAAACGTGTTCCTGCTATAACATCCTTTTGGTGTTCAGCTGCCATGCCACCCGAAGGAACGACGAGGATGAGGATATTGACAGGTTGTCCAAGCCTAGACAGGAGAAGTCAAGATGCAGAGGCCGGGTACGAACCACGGACCTTCCGGTTAGTGAATTCGCGGTCCAACCACTGAACTACCTCGC